TTAATTCATTAATTTGTTATTTGCTTTATGTATAGCTTGTACAACCATTATTGTTGAGGTTGGTATCTTAGAAACAATAAATTGAGTGGCTTTTATGTAGGGTGTTTTATATTACAGAATGTTCGCCTCCCCAGAAGACCTATCTTTTACATATTACGTAGACATGCAGCTTGCCTTGGGCTCCGAACCACTGCCCTAATTGTCATCAAATAGTCGAAACCCATTGATGATTGGTTGGATTCGAACCCGGGTCGTCAGGGCAGAAGTCCTACGCTTTTACCTCAAACAGCCGCTAACACAGATAGTTCTCATTGTTTAGGAAATGTTCCCTTCGTTGTGGACCTAAATTACCGGTCACTGCGTTATCACATAGCGTAAAGCCATTGGTAATTGTTGAGATTCAAACCTAAATCTCCTGAACAGAAACGCCACGCCCAGCAAAATAACAGCTGCGTCCTCTTCGAAGCCACCTATTCATAGTGTAAGGATGTTGATAATAAGCTTTCAATTTCCAAACCGCCTTTTTGAAGGGACCGGTAGCCTGGCTTTAGACTAATTCAGCGTAACGGTATTCAAGTAGAGAAGGAAGTGTAGGGTTGCCTTCAGCACGCGACTCCTATAGTCCTGCAGGACACAACTGGCTCGGACATCCTGTGATCCTTCCGTCCTTGTCCTGAGTGAGGGACGAGAAGCATTCGATTCTACGTACGCATCATTCAGTGTTTTTTTCACACAGTATTTTGAATTGGTTATTCGAAAACAGAGAAATTAAGCAAAATATTAATACGAAGTCCTTGATTGCTACAATGTAATAACTTAATTAATCAGAATTCAATTAGTTGCTAAACTGATCCACACTCTTCAAATACGTAAAACTTCCGTCGTGTCGTCATGATTGAACAAGGTTGTCTGAATTACTGATGTATATTGTTTGGTAGCTTATTAATTACAGGGGGGTTACCCAACTAGAGTTTGACAAAAATTCCGATCTGCAACAATCTGCAAAGACAACTTCAACTTAACTTTTTGATGCAAAATTATATCAGTTTATATTTGATTTGTTAATTCTTTTCGTCATAGGTTCTAACTCAGGAAAGTCAAAAGTGGTTTTTGTGGTTTGATACTGGACCCAGCTTTCTTGACTGTATTGGGTTCGGAATAAATTATTGTCCTTGCTAAGAACCAGCTGATCTTAGTCATAATAACGCTACAACAGTAACATATGTTCATTTACTCATCTTCCAATCATAAAACCATATAAAACGTACTCACGTATGCGTCGCTGCATTAACAAATTCTATAGGTAACAAATTCTATTAGTCGTTAGTTCACTCTATCCAACAATTGCAATTATTTTTACCGAGTCAATTGTTACAAACTTGGACATGTGATTGTGAAAACACCGTTACATTTGACTGCAAATGTACAAAGCAAGTAATGACAGGGTGTTCCAATAGACGGACGTTTGGGGTAGGTCACACAAGGGCCTGCCCTAGTTAACCTCTTTGTCAAACTTGAATAATTGCTTTTTAAATATTCAAATGTCATTATTGCTCAACTCTTTCATTGTGAAGTATTATTTATTCGTGGCTTGAAGGGTGGGTAATTTGACTGACCGACTTTTGTGAGTTACTCAATTATTGTACAGAGTCAGTTATTTGAATAGTTTCATACATTGATTTATAATTGACTTAATCACAGAGGAGTAATTTCTGCTTTGTGACTTAATATTGATGGGAATTGTTGTAGGTAGCATAAATTTACTGTGGAATGTAAAACAAAAAAAAAGAACTTGTAACATAAATTTACTGTGGGATGTAAAACAAAAAAATAACTTGCCTGTATTAAACTGCATAGTTTGCAATCCATACAATATAGCAATCTCCTAGTTCATTCCATCATCGTTTGATTGATAACATATTTTAATTGTAAAGTTATCCATATAAGAGATTTCGTAGCGCCTGCAAACCGATTGACACAGCTCTGCTTTCATGAATGTGCTGTGGGATTGCGTTCATTGGCTCGAAGGCGTTTACTGTTTGTCCATGTATGTTGTCTGTCTAATTTTTTTAAGAGGTTGGCGGCCTCTTTTGCCCGTCCACATAGACAAACCGCCTGTGCTTGGAACGTTTACAGCAAAGCAAGGAGTGAGCCGGTACAGGACAAAGGTGAACTGTACGACTGTACTGATACAGAAATAGTCTCGTAGAACATTTATGTTTCTGTCTGTTCATTGGAAATTCATCCGTCATACTTAGGCATATTATGCTCGTTATTTCATAAACTGTAAAGTCATGCTGCTTCATTACTAATTAATTACCTATAAAAATATATTTGTAAACTATCGCTTACCCTCCGGTATTTTAACCAGATTATGTAATAATCTCAATGACTAAGGGAAACGTACAATTCACATCAGCGCACTAAATCTCCAATATACAACATAGAAAAAAATGCTTCTTATTTTACAACCGAATGAGAGTATTATTCAAGGCTACTCTTTCACCTTAGTATACAGGTTGGTCTCTTATGATTCTAATCTTATCTATTCGATATTAAATTTTGTCTTGCTAGATATTATATTAATTGGTCGACAGTTCAATCACATCACATCGTACTTTCATACTATTGTTTGTAAACAACAATTGCTGTCTTATGAGAGGAAACCTATCCACCTCTATATCCACTGAGATGAAGTAAATAAATAAACTTTTCAATAACGTACTCATCTGTTCTGCAGCTTCGCTAGAATTTAGAAACCACATTGTTGACGAAATAGAATTACTGTGAATTGCTCTTTCTCTTGTGTGTTTGCCATATACGTTAACTACAAGCTACTCTTTAGTCTATGTACCCAGCAGTACTCTCGCGTCACTCTCTCCGCATTATCCGCTCTCCTCAGTCCGGACTAGCGAGAGTCACTTTCTACAGTTGGCAATCGTTGACACACCTCATCCCACACACCGCGCTAAGCGATCTTTTGTACATATCTCTCTCAATTCAATTTATCGAGCCGTGATCTTTTTGTATTTTTCTATTTCTATAGAACATGTGGGACTCGCCAACCTTAGTGAGGGTCAACTCGTTATAGGAGAACAAATATTGGGCATATTCTATTTTCATAATAATTAAAAAGATAATAAATCGGGAACTTTATTACATAGCTAGATGTTTTTTGGAGTTAAGTTTTATCACACAGAATAGACCACCATGGTATATTCTGTCCGGTTTTATCTAATAATCTTTCTCTTGTTGATAGGAGAAGGAGTTGTCAACTATAGCTTTTGCCACAGCGAATATTTTATGAATATACTGCAAATCTATATGTACGTTAGTTATTATTGACATCCATCACGCTAGAAAATGGGGTTTAACTCATGAATAGTAAAACTCAGATTGTTTTATAACTATATTAAAGCTAGTTCTTAGATTAAAGCTGTGCCTAGAACGTCCAGGTGAGGTTTTATTTGAGCAAAGCTGCAAATGTGTACATTATAGTCGAGAGTACCCAATCGATTGTGAAAATGCACTTCGTCGCTGTAAACTGGGCTATCATTTCGGAAAACTATTTCTTCAATCAATTATTGTTTATAAAAAGCTTTGCAAGTTGTATTTTACCGAAGTGATGACCCACGAGTTTTAGGCACACCGGGAAACGGTCAAACAGTTATCCGGCCTTGGTCTCATCAGTGCAGATGTGTCTGGATAAACGGACGTCTACTGAACACATTTTCGCCATCCATACCGCAGAGAATTTCTCTCTTTATGACACAATTTTCATAAAAATAAATTCGACAGTAGCAATAGATCGTTGATTGATATTCGGAGCTGCGGCTGGACTATCCTAGAAACAACGGTTGAGGTTGACTAGCGGACGCTCGCTCCATCTACAGTAGTACAATGTGTGTCACCGCCACCGCCTCACTGGTGAAACCTCAACCTCAGTCTTCAGTGTCACTCGGACCTTGGCCCTGACTTTGCCGCGAGTCGCGACAGTTGTGATTTGTGAAACTTGGGAAAGTTGTAAAAAAGTTAGCGACTTGCACATTTAGAAAGGCTCGGCTATGGTTTGGATACTTCCCAGTGATTAAGAATTTCATAAGTTTTTTCATGTAGTGCATTAACGAATTTTTCAAGGTGTGTTTTTCATGTGTTGACAGGTAATTTGCACACTATTTTTTACTTAAGGTACATACTAAGATTTTACTTTCAAAATGTTAATTGATTGTTTCCTCAAGAGGGTTTTTATTGTTGTAGGCCAACTTGTGCGTTTTTATGTAAATAAGACTGCTAAGGTTAGTTAAACTTACACAGCTGTATTTGTAAATTAAATGAAATTGTGAACAAAGTTTTAAATATTTTTTAATTGAAACTCAAGTTCGACATTTTGATAGTGCTTTATCTACGACTTGATTAAAATTAGTCATGTAGTCATATTGATCATAGTGATTGATTGATATTTGGTCATATTGATCAGGTCATTATGATATTTCTCTTTGTAACACCCATTGATATACACACAGCTGATGTCTTACAACCAGCTGTTAGCTCTGTAACAGATTATTTAAAGGGTATTTAAATTAAACCAGTCTTCTTGTGGTAACTTGAATGCATGTTAGTTTACATACAAAAAATGGTTACCCTTTTTAAAAGTATGCATCCTTTCTTAAACTTCATAATTAACAGTTTGTTGGTACAAAAGTGGTCAATTAGTGTGTTTTGCAAGCTTTTTATAGGAATCCCCTCAATCCCTCTTTAAATTATATTTTTTTGTGTTGACATCAGTGGCATTTTGCATGTTTAAGTATCTTTTTGGATATGCCAGTTACTTGCCAATCTGTCCCTCCAAGCCCCAGACACTAACCACTCTATCAACACTTTTGACAAATGATCAATAACATTGAGAACAAGTAGAGCTGTTTTACACTCCTGACTTTAAACACATGTTCAATTCTCTATTTAATTGTACCAGTATCTAATGTCTGGTCATTCTGTTACAGACACATCCTATGAGAAGGCCTGTAGAAGAGGCAGCGCACCAGCCACACCAGTCCTGGGCAACCGGACACTGGAACTCACTCCTTCCCGAATAGTGGTCAGTATCCCATCTCATCCCTTTATGTCCTTTTTTATCTTTTAACAGAATTAGGGATTAACTGTGTTATAACAAAATGCAAAACTTTTACTCCCACAAAATAAGTAGGTAGTCATACTATAAAATAATTTAGAAATAAAAACCTTTTTTAAAACAAAACGTTTTCAAACGCACTAAAAGTAGGAAATAATTTCTAAATATGTGGAGAGTATAAATACTTGTAAGATTTAAAACGAAAAACGTGGGGTGCATGCAATAGATATTTTACAATTACCTTCACCTATTAAACTAATGTATTATTGTCTATTGCATGCACCCCACGTTTTTCGTTTTAAATCTTACAAGTATTTATACTCTCCACATATTTATAAATTATTTTCTACTTTTTAGTGTGTTTGAAAACGTTTTGTTTTAAAAAAGGTTTTTATTTCTAAATTATTTTCTACTTTTTAGTTTTTAATGTGTGTGGATGTTAAATCTATTTCAAGCATCTATATCAGATTAAGACAGAGGCATGTGGGAAGTCTAAGATTTATTTGAGTTTCTTTTCATATAATTATGTAGTACCTGGGGAAAATGTAAACATAGAAAATTTGGAAGCCCATGGGGCGTAGCCCAAGAGAAATATGAAAATTAAATAATATAATATTGCATTGTCATCCATTTGTGAGCTATATTTCGAGTTTCAAGTCTCTCCATGTCTCAACATGTGTATTTCAAGAGCTAATAAAAACAAGCCCATGGGGCGTAGCCCAAGGGAAATATGAAAATCAAATGATATAATATTGCATTGTCATCCATTTGTGAGCTATGTTTCAAGTTTCAAGTCTCTAGCTCGTCGGGAAGTATCAAAATTTGCAAGTAAGCGAGTTAATAAAAATAAGCCCATGGGGCGTAGCCCAAGGGAAATATGAAAATTAAATTATATAATATTGCATTGTCTTCCATTTGTGAGCTATGTTCCAAGTTTCTAGTCTCTAGCTCATCGGGAAGTTAGTATAAAATTGATTGGACAATTTGTACCGGACAAGAAAGCGAGCTAATGTAAACGTTTTAATACCTTCAAGTGTAAACTGTAAACATATTACACATACTTTAAATTTGTTTTCCACTACAATTGAAAATTGCTAATTACAAAATGGCTGATTCCAACAGATTATTGTGTGTGACAGCTAACACATAGTGTTATCCGAGTCAATAAAGTGCAATGTAATTATTAAGTTTTTAAAAATATTTAAAAATATTCAAGATTTTGGCATTTTCACATTTAGGGACAATGGAAGGTATAGAACTAGCTTGAGTTCTCACACACGTCATAAGTTTATATGGATATATATCTTCTCGCCACTACTTTTTTTGTACATACATTTCTTTAGACCAGAAATTTCCTGAAATTATGCAATATACTTGCAGTTGCAGTTATTCTGTGCTGCAGTGAAGGCTATGTGCTGAAATACTATTGGACCTGATAAACTGAAAATAGTCATATCACAATCCAGCAACAGAGTAATTTTTGCATGACTTAGTATAAAAACAGACATATAGAAAACCATGTACTAATTAATACCAATGATTTACAGTTTAGTTATCCTATAGAAAGGAAATTAGTATATAGAAATTATTTCTTTTTCCTAAAAACCTTAAAATTTATCTATCATAATTTTAGCCACCTTGTTTTTATTTTTTATGGAATTCTTAAGCTTAGGAATTGACTATCATTGATTTTTACAGAATTTCTTCTCAAAACGGTCGTTCAGATCAAATCCTCTCAAAAGGACCAAGAGCGTCACAAAACTGGAGAGGAAAAAAGTCGATAGTGATGGGTAAGTTTGAAACTGAAACATTCAGATACAAATGCACAATAAATATGAAGGTCGTGTAAACCCACATGTGTTATGTTAATTACGATGCAATAACTGTGTAAACACTCTACCAGGTACGGATGGCTCTTTGACAATTACAAACTGTTTTTAACTTCGCTCCGATCGACAACTAGTTTCACCTCCTTGTTTTTTGTTGTGTCCACAATGTTAAAGTATTTTTCAAAAATTAAAAGCAACTCTTTTGGAGATGCATTGGATATTAAAAAACTTCAATTGAGGTATGTTGTTGGTATTTTGGTGTTTACTATGAATTTATACTCAATATACAATGTTACTAGGCCTAAAAGTTTTTGTTTTTTTGTACGTTTATTGATCCTTAAGATGTTGTTTTCAATTAAAATAAAACTAATCTATAAAACTTTGAGTTAAGTGTAAACCAAAAACATTGAAGTGCAATATACTCGAGAAGAGGGTAATATCAATTTTATGTCTTGGGTTGAGCAAACTTAAGTAATCGGAAAAGTAATTATTCATAAGTTGTGTTGTGGAAGTAGCATTGCTATTGTAGTCTGTTACTTTAAAAAACATTTTAATCACTGAATTCTAATTTTTAAGTAGTTGATTTGCACAGTAAACTGTTATGCTACTTTAGTGTAAATTGTCAGTATATTCTTTTCATTTAAGGTTTATTATACTGTTTTTAGATGTTGCTTTGGTGAAGGAAAAACTAAATATTTGTGTTTGTAATATTGTTTAAGTGGATTTTGTGCTAAAAATCCATATGTTGGTAGCAATATCTGCTAGGAACTATGATAACTGTAAAAGACAAAAATATTAGTGTTGATCTCGCCACCCTATCTCGTCTCCTTTTTTTTAAGCCCATTTCAATACCAAAAAAGTCCAGATTTCCAAGTACTTTTATTGTATCATTCAAAGCCTTTACATAGATGAGAATATCTTTATCAGGAATTGGAAATCGTGGTTCTACCTATTCTATTCTTCCCAATGCTTTTCCTCAGTAGATATACTCTAACTCAGTTAGACTTTATTTCCTTTTTCCTTTTTTTTTGTCCTAGGACACTAGGCACGAGCCTGGGATTGTTTTTCACATTACCTCAGGCTAAACCGAGGGGTTGCGGCATTATCACTTAGATAAAATCCATTGGTGATTTGGCGGGATTTGAACCTAGGACCTCTTGGACCCAAGTCCCGCGCTCTACCTCAGTTAGACTAAGTATGACCATGTGTTTGCTAATTTTCTGTTCTGTCTGTAGTGTCCCGGTAGCTCCTAGACTCCGCACCTCAAGGTCCCACGAGTCCCTGTTGTCCGGACAAGCCCAGAGCGTCATGCAGACCTTGGATCTCAGTTCTGGAGGTCAGTATTCCTCATTTCCAAGGTTCAGTTTTGTGAACCAAACATTATTTTAACAAAAGTAAAGTAAGTCTCGTTTATAATTAATTTTTATAGCCCCAGGATTGCGTAATATGACTAATAATGGTTAAAATGTACCTTGTCAGACAATCCTTGACATGTTTTGTAGTGTCGAAAATAAACTTGCTACATGTTTCGGTGGTTATTAATTCCACCATCGTCAGGCACACAAAAGGATCTACTTCCAGTCCTGCTCGCGGCAATGTACGTGCATAAGTTGATAGGCCTATCTGTTAACCGTGTATTTAATCGTTTCGTGTTTTGTGTTTGTGTTAAATGTATGTAACAACTCTGACGACACCTCAAGAAGTGGATCCTTTTGTGTGCCTGAGATGGTGGAATTTAATAACCACCGAAACATGTAGCAAGTTTATTTTCAACACTTCGTTTATCTCTAACCTAAAACTCATCAAGTCTTAAAAGGAAAATCTCTGTCTTTCAAAACTTACAATCCCAATTAGTGCAATTTAAACATTGTTTTACTCGTTTTTGTTGATTTGCCGAACTTGTACTGCTGAACAGGGTTAGATTCTTGTTCTTCTTAGTGTTTATATCTGAGTTATAATAAAAATATAATAGCAGCACTGTGCATAAATTCCTTAACAATATTGATTTACTGTCACAAAAGAGGCCAATAGTAATTTTTTGACTATCAAATCACATATCGTAGATTTTTAAATGACTTAAGAATAAGTTCCTCTTACTAATATGGTCTAGAAATATTTAAATTACTGATATTAGTTTTTGAGTTGAAAAATAAACTGTAGGTCTATGTTTATTTTTACTTTTTAAAAAAGATCTAAGTACCTACCTAACTAATTTGATTTACCATCTGTTTCTCAGGGGTTGAGATCAAGCCACTCCACGCCAGTGTGTTGGGACGAGAACATTGTTTCCAGGTGACACTACCGGCCGGCGTTGCGCGGTACTTCTCCTGTCGCACGGCCGAGGAACGTGACAAGTGGGTCCACAGGTAACACAAGCGCTGTATTCAACCTTGTTAAAATCATAGTTGGTTTTACCATTTATTCAAAGAAGAAAGTGTATTCCACAACACAAATCACTAGCTGATATAGACCATTTTTCAGTTTTAACAATGAACAGACCTGGTCTTGGACGTTCCTTTACAAAGTAGACACACAAACACAATTTTGTTTCTAAAATAAAGGTTACTTTCTTTCTAATTCACACAGTAGTTTTGAAGAACCAAATTTTCCTAGAATGTCTTTTCCTCGCTGCATAATGTATGTGTATAACGGAAATTATACAATACGAGCACATATATACATCAACCTTGTACGACAGGCACTCTGCATGTAGAATAACCTTGAGTACTGGCTAGATATAGAACGATCACCTCTATATAAGTAAAAAATCGCAAAACAAAAAAATCTATTCATATGGAGAACATTTTGCTTTGTATATAATTTTGTGTTGAGTTTTTAGATATTACACTATTCTTCCCACCATCAAGGAATGACCTTTAATTTTAGCCCTCTCCAATGCTTCTCAAGCACCCCAGAATTTTGGCAAACAGAATCACCTTACAAAAAATTAAATATACAGATGTGTCGCATAACATTTTCTCAATAAATTTATTAATGCAATTTAATGATATCCTCATTCATTAATTTTTTAAATATTAAAAGTACTAGTAATAAAACGTTTTAGACACTTGCTTTTATGCATAAACATCTAAAAGCAATTTGTTTGGAGTTTACTGTTATTATATTATATTAGGTAGTTCGTACTGTTTAGTAGCTAGTGTTAAGGAAATCAATCATGTTAGGAGGAATAACAAAAAATAATAATTTGGATCTCAACAAGTACCTATTTAGGTTTACTATTTATAATAAAATTGTTGATGAAAAACGTTTATTACAAGTATTTGAACCTTGAAAGAGAAAATCCCTGCCAAAATTATTGTAAGTTAATTAACTTATGGACAAATTTGTTTTTTATAAAAAAATACCATCAGAGTCAATAGGAGTCAGCCTATCAGTGTAAAAAGCGTATTTACACTTCCCAACCTTTGATTACATTCACGCATGTGATACCATCTTCCGTTGATAATTTTACTATGAGCTGTGACGTATTTGTTGCTGTTTGTCCTATCTTGAGGCAATAGTCAAGATAAGGTTATGTGATAAGAGGTACCTTCAGTGTAGAAGAAACTAGGTGTGATAGTTTAGTGGAATTTGTGAGCAATATCCAATGGGTTCGACAATTTCAAACAATGAATCAAACGAGGAGGATGTATTGAATGACACAAGCACATCAGGTGGTGACTCAATGGAACTAGTTGTGTGAGTAAATTTAGCGAGAATTGAATAGAGAAAGTCAAAGTAGTTTTATATGATCTGTGGGGGTGCTGTTAGAGTTTAGAACAAGTTTTTACTTTTACCTTGGCTAAGATAAGTGTTAGGATTATACCAAAGCACAAACCGTAAAATCACTCTAAATCAACACATCAAAGTTTGCTTCAGATTTGTCGTGCACTTTTTAAGTTAATGAGATGACTCCCTTATTCTATTCAAACCATTAACATAAACTTAAAAATAGGTATGCCACAAGTCTGTTACCGTGCTTGTGTTCCTCATTGGAAATGTTATCCATTGAATATTTTGATTTCAGCTTGCGGAAGTCAGTTCAACCAGACCAAGACCAAATCAGACGCACAGACAACTCATTGAAAATATGGGTTTTGGAAGCAAAAGGAGTGGCCAACAAAAAGAGGTAAGGAATCATGAAATCATAATAATTGTATCGGTTTTGTAATTGATGCGATGCTATTTTGTGATTTTTATTTATAGTTATTTATATCCACGAATTGTGGATATTTATAGGCATACACTGTGGATGCGATACTCCCTGTTGTGGGTTAACGTCCGCACGAGTGAGTACTACGACTATCCGCAGTACTATCCTGATAATTAGACCAATTCGTATATACCTAGGAAAAATGTGGTTCGGATTCCACTATAAACTGTAGGTCCCTACCATTAGCTGTATGGGCTATTAATTAACAGCTGTGTCAAAGGAATGTCGGCCTTAGTCATTAACAAGATTACAAGTTCGCGCCACTCATCCTACACTCATCTCCATTCATACTTGGCTTAAAATACCTACTATTATGGTCGCCATTTCATTGAACAGTATTAACAGTATTAAATTGCCAGGGCCACTTTGGGGCCCCAGATGCTTAAGATTTTTTGGGGACACAGAAAAGAGGAAAATTCCTCCAAAAGAAAGGGGGGAGGGGAGCACAATTATCTATCTGGCCTAAAGCTCATCATATGCAAACGGCAGGCCTGTTAACTGCTTTAGTTTACTGTAATTTCTATGTAAAAGCAACAACAAGTTCTTCATAAGATTAAATACCCCCGCCGCAGCAAACCTGCCGACTAAGCGAATTTCCATTTGTCTGAATTGATTTTCAGTTAGGCCTAAATATATTTTAATAACATTAGGTTTAACGAGTACCTAGGTTTGCTGCTACAAGGAAACTAATAAAGTGTGTTTTTGAGTAAAATATTGATAGCTTAGTACAAAATAAATAAATTTGCCAAATTTGATCAAAATATATCCATAAACAAGCAAACTACAACATATGACAGTATTCTCCATAAGAATAACATGGGAATTTTAAATTTACAATTTTTTTAATTTTCTCGGTTACTAATAATCGAACAAAAATACTTTTATATACTAAATTATTTGTTTTTTTAAGCTCTTTAAAAAGGTTTAAAGAGAAATTGGGAAATTTTGTGTTTTGAGGGTCAAAAGTGAGAAAAACCAATTTTTACCCCATAAAACCCCCCGTAAAGCCCCGTTCCCATGGTCCGATCGTGCTGGTTCGCGAACTCATTCAAGTTTATCCCGCTTTACACCTTTAAACCAAATTTCATCAAAATCGGACAAAAATTACTCAAGTTATCGCGTTCACGGACGTATATATATATATATATATATATATACTAGCTGTACCCACGGGCTTTGCCCCGTTTAACTTCTTAATTTTCAAGATGAGCTCGTTCGCATGGCTCAATTACGTCCTGGTTGAAGTTCGTTCGCTACGCTCACTCACCTATAGGTTGGAGCTAGTTCGCTGCGCTCACTTGCCTTCGGGTTAGCTCGTTCGCTACGCTAACTCGCCTCCAGGTTGAAGTTCGTTCGCTACGCTCACTCACCTTTTGGTTGCAAATTAGCTGTTGTCATAAATTAAAAAAAATAATAGTGCTGCACCCTGTTGGTAATCCTTGTAACTTTAATGCTATTGAACATCATAGAACAGAACCAACTTGTTTAATTGAAACAGCTGATAAGATTCATTAATTCCTTTTAAATATAAAAAATCATAAGGTTAACATGGGAAACTCCAGAGCCACTGGGGCGGAGCCCGAGGGTCCGATCAGAATAAAAACAACTTAGTTTTCCTATTTAATACCTAAAGAATCGGTGTGCCAAATTTCAGCCTCCTAGGTAAATGGGAAGTGGGAGAATTAGTGATGAGTGAGTGAGTGAGTGAGTCAGTGAGGGCTTTGCCTTTTATAAGTATAGATATATATACATATATAAAAATTTGAACGAATGGTGTTTTTGGCCTCTGGGGACATCAAAATGAAAAAGTAAATCGGTCCCGGGTCTAGGTCTTACCGTGCCACCTACGGTAATAGCTACTTCCCTATAGGGAAATTCGCTAAAACCAAACCAAAAATGTGTGTAGTAGTTTTCCAATTCCTTTTTAAAAATCTTAAAATAGGTAACTTTTTATATTGTATTTCTTCTACCCGTCCAATGACCTATTAAAACATTTTTAACTTTTTGCAGAAATAGTATTTATTCTTCTACAGATGTAGTATATTTGACTCTTGTTTAGGTATTTCTGCGAGGTCTGTCTGGACAAGACTCTGTACGCAAGGACGTCCTGTAAGCAGAAAGGCGAGTTGTGTTTCTGGGGCGAACACTTCGAGTTCCACAACCTTCCTCTAGTCAATGTAATCAACATAAACCTCTACAGAGAAGCCGACCGTAAGAAAAAACGGGACAAGAATATGCTTGTTGGTGAGTTGATTTTGACTATGGTAAAACTTCTGCTATAATCAAATTGTGTCTTTAAATTAACTTCCACTGTTATCATACTGCATGAAGCATTTGACAACTTGTTCTGTTATAATTTAGTATCTTGATGTTAAAGTAAGTTGGGGATTAAGGTGTGGTGCTTTAAAATATACATTACTGAACCGTAACTGCAGTTGAATCAATATTTGTATACATTTTGTTCAATAATGACAAAACCATCAAAAGTAATTAAAAATATAAGGCTTAAGTTAGCACTAAACTTTAAAAATATGACAATAGTGTTCTAAAATGTCTATAAAATGCAAGCCTTTCCATGACATACTTTAACTCAGCCTAACTTTAAACTTCATATTAAATGTATTAAAATCATTGTGTTTCCTCCTTTTGTTAAAGTATTTGGGGTGCTTTTAATTTTCATTACTTTATATTTATTATGTTACATAAAGCTTTATTTACTTTAAATAAATAGGTATAATAATTGTGAAATATCTAGATACATGGGCTAGTCAACAACAAAACGCTTAATCTAATACTGGACAGAAACACACCTTGAAATTATCTGCAACTGGTGATAAATTTATAACAAGAACACTTTTACCTTTTACCCAGATAAAGCTGAAACCATTTGAAAAATCATCCTTTCCTAAAGGTTCTCGCCATTCACTCTAAAAAAGATAAAGGGTTGAACTCAAAGCTTCCTCTTCTGCAGATACTAATGTGCTGAATGTTTTTGCCGCAGGGAGTGTCAGTATCCCTGTCCATGACGTCACCTCCAGGTACCTCACAGAGAAGTGGTACCCGGTGATGAGTGACAAGGGAGGAGTCAAGGATCCTCCAGCACTGAGGATAAAATGTAGGTTCCAGTCTGTGGACATCCTGCCAGTCCAGGTCTACCAGGAGTTCCTGCAGGTTGGTACCTCTGGAGGATTGTAAAACTTTCTTAATCGGAGGATTTATTAGAAAAGTTTATCTGACACTTGTCGAAATGAAAAAAAGTTGTTCTTATGAAACTGTAAAAAATACTCAATTTGACTAGATGTTTAAACATGTTTTGATAGTTTTCATTCTGAAATAATTAATTTATCTTAATAATATTATAAATGTGAAAGTTTGTGTGTTTGTTTGAAGTTCAATCACGGATTAACTACTGGACGGATTGGGCTGAAATTTGGCATGATGATAGCTCACATTCCTGATTAACATATAGGCATATTCTTATCTCAAAAATCCATTCGGGCTCCACCCCAGTGGCTCTGTAGTTCCCCGTGTTAACCTTATGAGTACCGGTATTTATATTTAAAGGGAATTCAAGAATTTAGTCAGCTGTTTCAACTAAAAAAAGTTGGTTCTAGGATATGCAAAAGCATTAAAAAGTTAAAAGATTTACCAACAGAGTGCAGCACAATATTTTTTTTGCATTTATAATAAGCAGCAACAAAAACTGTGGTACACAATGAGAACTAACTGTCAAAGTAGGATTGTTTACATTTATGTTTTTAATTTCTTGAATAATTTGTGATATTTTGTGAATTTTTGATAGTTCATTTTTCTCTATTGTTTAGGTTAAGTGGTAGAACATTATGGCTATGGTAGATGTGTAATACTAATACTGTAAATTTAGAGAAGCAAATAGGCCCTCATTGCAAACGCCAAGCTTGAGTATAACCGCAATAAGCATTTTATACTTATATGCCGATCCCGTATGAAGGACGGGTACTCTGCTAGTTAATGTATAATATGAAGTTGTGTGACAATGTTTCTTTGTGAAATATATTTAAAAGTGCCCTAATAAAACGACTGACTCTTTTTCATTGGGACACCTTTCAGACATGTGTCTGAACTAAAAAAAGTTTGAACCATCAGTTTAAACTTCCTGACTAGTAGTAGTACCAAGATTAATTGATTGACATGTTTCAAAACCACCCACTTTATTGTACCTTTGTGGGCAGAATATGAAAATACAGTAGTATACCAAACAATAATGGGGAAAAGAATAATAATGTAACTGTTGGCTTGAGGATAAAGCAACAAATGTGTGTTAGTCAAACTGAGGAGGTTTTCCAAAATCCGAACCAAGAAGATTCAAATATGAAGGTTTCTACTGTAATTTTAAATTATTAAACCCGTCTTCCGTAAGATTTTATTGCATAGTATGAATTTTATTCTGTTCAAATTGTTTGCAGAGAGGTAATTAATCAACTTATTTAACCTGTCAAAATATTTGATTCTAACTTGGATGTTGCAGTACCTAAAAACGGAGTACAAGTCGGTGTGCGAGGTGTTGGAACCAGTGATCGGGGTGAAGGCAAAGGAGGATATTGCGACAGCTCTGGTGCACGTCATGCAGAGGGAAGGTCTAGCTAAACAGTTCCTGGCCGACATAGTCATGATGGACATTGAGAGGATCGGTGAGTAAACAAGGAAACGTGTGTGTGAAACAGTCTAATAGGATATCCAGTCTTGAACCTTTTAAAACTTCTCAATGAAATTACATGATGAAGATATTTTGAAAGTTTTGTAAGGTTAACATAATTCATATCATGTACAGTTAATTTTAAAGTTCCTGATGGGTGTAGTCATGATAGATGAGTTAAATTTGGTAATTCAACATTAACATTGTTATTGTTAGTAAAAATTGTCTATAGGACTTCAAAGAAAAATACTCAATGTAATTACTCTGTGATAATTTTTATGTTCCGGTAATGTTTATAATAATGTTTTTAGTATTGAAAACTATGGCATTTTCATCAAATGAATTGAGTTTATATTCTGTAATGGAGTAACTACGAAAGATGAATTGATATACTCAGATCTGTATAATTTGGATTTTTTCATATGATTAAATCGATTAAATTTCAAGGATTTTGTAAAAATTTGTCATTTTGCACAATTTCCCCACACGTCAAAACAATTTATCATAAAGTTTGTTCCCATCATACCTCCCATTGCATTGTTGTTTTGAAATCACAATTTAGTGAGATTTATTTATTCACTTATGGGAAGTGACTGCATTGTGTTAAGACTACTTTATAGACTGTTTCCTGACAGTACTTAAATAACCGGTTATTCAACAGAAGACGATCGGTTGACGTTCAGAGGCAATTCGTTGGCAACCAAGGCGATGGAGGCTTACTTGAAGTTGACGGGAGAGAAGTACCTGCACTCCACACTGGGAGAGCTGGTGGCGGGGGTGTTAGGAGCGGGGGTGGACTGTGAGGTGGACCCGCTCAAGGCGGGAGGAGGAGCAGCACTGGCGAGGAATCAGCTGAACCTACGCAACGCTGTGGAGACTACATGGGCCAAGATATTGTCTTCTGCAGCCACCTTCCCTGTGTGAGTAGACAGAGCAAGTTGGATTGTCAAATTTAATACAGCAATTAAATGCATTAATTTTGAGAGTTAGTGTGACAAAATATTTTATTGCAAGTTTTGATGTAAAGTTTATCCATAAAGTGTAGATAAATATGTCCTATTTTGCAAAGACAATTTCCTCAATCCTAGCATAAAGTAATGCTCACTCCAACTTTTCAGTCTACTTAAATTTCAATTTTTAGTAACTTGTTAGGTTGATTTACAAACGTTTTGGGTTCTACTGCATATCTAAGATCTTGATGGACTTCTAGTCAATTACTTACTGAGGAGTTGAGGGGTTATAAATAGTACCATATTAAAAAGAAATTGCCAGTTAGATTCTGAGAAAAGCCAGTAACATTTTGATTGCTCAAAAATTGATCTAGGTAAACTGGGTGATTCCTGGACAAATAACCAACTGATCAATTATTAGTGTAGGCTTATTTTCAAACATCTGGTTCCTATGATTTACTTGAAGTTTTTAACACTAATACCGAAACCCCGGTCTGACAGGCCCACGGGAATTTTCAAAAATGCATGTTGGCAACACTGTTTACTTGGGAGATTCCATTCCCGCAATACCTTCCCCCCTTTTCCTCCCCTACTTATTGATATATTGTTTGTTCATTTTGCAAGGGTGCCGTGACCTTGACAGGTTGTCTGTTCATAACATGCCCATCTCAGAAGCCCATCGTTAGTGTATTTTAAAGCGGGGTCTCACAGGCCGGGGGTTTCGGTTTGTGTGTGTCTAAGCAGGGTCCATTATTTTTCAAATGGGGTCTCAAAGACCGGGGGTTTCGGTTAACGTCAGCCTAGGTAGGGTTTCGGTATTAGCGTTAACACGATAATAGGCTTATTCTTTCATCATGTGTTTAGTGTAACACAATGAAGTGTATGAACATATGATCTATCAAGCTGTGGTTGCAGGGAGCTGAGGGAATGTTTCCAGCTGTTCAGAGAGAGGTTGGTGGCATCAGGAAGGCAGGACATCAGTGACAACTTAATCTCAGCGTGTATCTTCCTGCGGTTTCTCTGTCCAGCCATCTTGTCTCCAAGTCTCTTCAACATCACACATGGTCAGTTGATTTTATTGTATTGTAGTTAGTATTTAAACAAGAAGTCCCTTTAAAATCTTAAAACTATTTTTAGATTATCTAAATCAGTTTGGTAACCAGCAGTAATGGTAATTGGTAATGGTCCTTGGAACAGCACCTCAGATAAATTGAATATCAGTTGTCTATTTACATATTCATGCGCAAACGAATATATGTATGCTATGGTGTACTGTTCAACATAAGAAAGTATAGAAGAGAAGCACTGACCAAAACACTTTTTTCACTCAAATATTGTTTGTTTCAATGTTTGCTTATTAATGATAACGAGAGGTCGTCCAGTGGTCGAAACTCGACCAAAAATATGTAATGTACAGACTTCTCTATTTTCTCCCTACACTGTAAATAAAACATGTGATTTGAGTTTCTTCCATTTGTTTTGATTTTCTGTTTATATTTCGTTGTTATTTCGTAACCAGCATAGCAACCCATAAAATCCATGTTAATTTTTTCAAATTTTTAAACTAATTTTTTGTGCTTATCTTTGAGCCTATTTTAATTTATAAAGGGATTCTGCACACCTACAGGAAAATAGCTTTCTAACGGTATGCGTAGATTTTCCCTACGATGCACACGAGCTGAGAAAAAAGGTTTTAAAGAAACATGCTTGCCTATTAATATATAGATAGATACCCAATGAGCAAAGTTTGAACTAAAAAAATGAGTTTTTAGAAAAAAACTGTCACTATAGCTGATGAGTGTTTAAGCACAGAAAGGCGACCAAGTGTACTGGCAACGCGAATGGATGAGACTGCTGATGTTAAAACAATTACACACTATTTACAACCATGACAAGGCTAGTACGACTGGCCAACTGAGTTCATGAAATTGGTAATTAATTGTACATAGTCTCTGATAAATTTATCACAAGCTTCCATTTATTTCCAGAATATCCCAACGAAAAAGCTGCAAGAAATCTTACTCTCGTAGCGAAAACTCTGCAGACTTTGGCAAACTTTACAAGATTTCAAGGCAAAGAGAATTTCATGGAATTCATGAACGACTTTTTGGAAAGAGAAGCACCATCAATGAAGACCTTCCTTCACAGTATTTCTGTGAGTATTATTATGATTTGTGTAAGATGCCAGTTTTTTTTTATGACATCGGCTGAACCTGCTGGTGTCTATTTGCAAATGCAGTAATTAGTATGAGGTTAGCAGGGCTTTTGATTTATGGGAACCGGTAATAATTTTTGCATCATATTAAATCAACTTAACGAAACAGGAAATTATAATATACCATCAAAATGTTCTCACTTTTACCAGTAAAAGACTTAGATTACAACAATTCTAAAATATTTATCAAGCAAACAATAAAATCAATGTCATACTTGCATTCACAGAGCGGAGTACCCAAAGACGGAAGTCTGCCAGTGGCTCAGTTTGAAGGATACATTGACCTTGGCAAGCAGCTGAGTATCCTGCATATCCTGCTGGTCGAGTGCGTGTCTAAGGTAGGGCCTGGGAGAGTGACCGAGGTAGAACGCCTCAGTCGAGTGCTGGAGCGAGTGCGCTCAGCTCTCACTCAACCCCCTCCCCTCTCACGGCAGGTGTCTGCGCCTGACACGCACGACTCTTCCATCAACAACTACCAGTCTCTACAGAGAAACATCTTCAGGTAATTAGGCCTACTATTGGTGTTGTACTAAGTTTTGTGTGGTTGTTTTTAAATTGTTTCTTTAAAGGTATACATTTATTTACATACCCTGGCAAAAATCAGCACATTTAAAAGAGCAGATAAGAAAATTGTTATGGTAAATATTTTGCTTATGTGGAGGATTTAATTGATTAAAAACTTTGTATGGTATGAAATATATACCTATGAAACCCCCAAGATCATTGTAATTTGTGAGGTTGTTTTGGTTTTATTATATCTTTCTTTTTGCAATTTCAAAATTTGTCGAGGTTAGTATCAACGATCTAACATACATTGTGTGTTGTAGGTTCAACGACCCAACTGTCTGTATGAACGGGAACGGCCCGCTTCACTATACTACCAGTGTCGGGGTGGGGGGTTCACCCGGTGTTGCTAGGGCGGCAACTCTGCCTCGCAACGCCTACCTCCCCTCTGGCAACCAGCTGCATCCCCACAACCACAACCATGACGAACAAACCACGTCCTTCAACAGCCCGGCGCACAACCGCCATCATCCACTTATGGTTAGAATCTGACTGCAGTTACCTTAGTCATTAAAATTGTTATTTGTTCATGTGTTTTTAAACATTTTGCATTGATTTGCTATTGTAATCTAACTCCTTTCGATGTGATGTGCGGTCATTCATGTTTGCCTTATTAAGAGTTGACAGGATTACTGGCCATCTTGGATTTTCTGCCTATAACAGCTATGTTAATGGTTGAAGCATACTACAGCATTGATTATTAAGATAAAAAGTTGCAAAATATCTCATTTTATAGCTATTGAAACCGTGTATGTGATTTGATATATACTTTTTAATTTTAATTGTTCTATTTTGTCAAACTACATAAATATATTGACTTAAACTGTGATTTTTCAACCTCCAAAACAAAAGTTTTAAAAATCCGAAAAGCAATTCAATTCATCAGATAAAATGTCCTGCTCGGTAATTAAGCTTACAGTGCATGATTAATGTGCTTCAACCACTTTTTCGCCTGCATCTCACGGTCAATGGCAATGCAAAATTATTGACTCCTGCCGACTCTTAAACATTCTTTTAAGCATCTTATGCAACCAAGAAAAGTAATGCCTCCTTCAGCGCTAACAAGCAAATAATCCTCACCTAAATTTGGCAATAAATGAACATTAGCTCAGCTTGTTCGGCATACCAAAGTAGGATTTTGTAGGTGTGAATAAACCGTTTCAATTACACTATGTTTGAAAATATTTTTTATTACTTAAAACAAAATACCAATTAAAACAAAATTTTCTTGAAACAACGAGTTAGATATTAAATTTTGAGAAGGCAATGATGAAAGATGGAATAAAGAAGTTAAATGGTAGCAAAACAATTTGCATGGCATGAACTGAACTACTATAGTCATTCTATAGTGGGGGCTGGTATCGTGATAAAGTGTGGGGATTTGGTCATCTAGGTCCCAGGTTTATTCCTACTGATCAAAAACGTCTTAAGCCACCGGTGCGGGATGATGCCCCGGATCGGCCTATTCTGAAGTAAAGTATAAAACAGTTAAGAGCTAGTGTGAAGCGTCCTAGAATGTGAAGGTGGAAAAAAAGACATTCAAGAACTTTTGTGTTAAAAAAATTCCAATGGCTGATTTGTCCATATGTTGCAGAGAGGGGTTAGAGGAGCCTCGACAAACACTGCAGCTCATCTGGACGAGCTGTCTGACGAATGTGAGCTTGAGCCGCACCACAAGGGATCTCAAGTCTCCATCTCAACATTGAGCAACGTAGCTTCCTCGGGATACCAGAGCTTTGCTGCCTACAGGTGGAGTACAGGACAAATAAAACTACATGTCTTAGCCTTGACAAATATTTATTATGAGTTCCTTATAATTGTGTTTTGGTGATGGATTCCCACTGCTTTAACCCATTGGGTAAGGAATTAATGCGCTACCTGCAGCACCCTCTGGTAGCAATTAATTTTACCGAATTTGTAGACTTTTACTCTAACTGCTATAGAAAGAAAACCTTAGGTAATAAATTAATAATTCTTTCACCATTTTGTTCACAGTAAAATTGTCTACAGAAAAGTGGTAATTGGATAGTCAAAGTTCTAAACTAAAAAAAAAATACATATAAAGATTATAAAAATAAAAATTTTAAAAACAATATTTTGAAAGTAAACTTGATATACAAATACCAAGATAAATCTAGACACCAAATAACACTACTAATATAAAGTTCAATCGATTCCCTACGTAGAAAAATTAAAAGTTGTGTACTTTTATAAGTAATAACATTTTTTTTTAATTGTTTGTTTACCTTACCGCACCTGATTTTTGGTGATATGTGGTTTCCATGGCAACACAAAATTTTTTGTTATTCGCTAAACTAGATGAGTAAATACGCAAATCAAGAAGCAAGATATTTATAAACATTATAATAGTAAGAAGAAACAAAAAGGGCGAAAAATAATAATAACTAAATACCGCATACTAAATAGCGGCACTCGTAAGTCGGCCGCCGGGCCTGCAGCGGCCGTACGAGTAACGCTCGTAAGTCGGCGCCAATGGGTTAAAGTAATTTTGTTGAGTCTCAAATTTGCTGCTAAAAGTTTGAGTTTCAGCTATGGAAATAGTATACAATACTTTGTAGAGTTAAAATCTAAAATGTGGAAGAGTTATTTGTTTGTGTGTGTTAATCAAAAAGTCAGTAAACAAAAAACTACATCCACTTGCAACACGTGTTGAAAAAATATTCTAAATCCTCACTGTTTTTCCAGCCAAAGCAGTAGCCCCGTCGACCTGACCATCAGTGCCAACAATGCCAACAACAATGTCCCCGCAGCGCCTCCGCTAGCATTCACCAATCCCGTCTACCAGCATCACCACAGGCCGGCGCGACGCCCTCGTCAGAGGTCATGTTCATCATCGTCAGAGGACGCTCCCGCTGCCGAGCCCTCTCCTCCTCCTAGGATCCAGCTTGGCCTCCGCGCCCCCCGCACCAACCCTCACACTGGCCCTGCTTGGAGGTCCAATGTAACCATTAACCCCCATCCACCAAAGCAGACACTACGAACCTACACCAGTACACCTTCAAATGGTAAGTAGGCATCATTTCATATTAATCTCATGTTTAGACTTACAAGCTGTGAAAATTATCTAACATTTAATGGATGGTGTAGGCTAATTCTTCTTTTCTAAACAGTTCTAAGACAATTTTATTTTATTTTTTTTAGCGAATTTCCCTATAGGGAAGTAGCTATTACCGTAGGTCTCATGGTAAGACCTAGGCCCGGGACCGATTTACTTTTTCATTTTGATGTCCCCAGAGGACAAAAACACCATTCGTTCAAATTTTTATATATCTATATATAGATATATATATATATATATATATAGGGTGTCCCGGAACACTCTACCAATATTTTAGGGCATTGCTCCTGGGTAAGAAACAAAACTAAATATCATATTTAAACTGTCCGGAAGTCCTTTGTTACTCACACATTGCCATTTTGTTTTTTTTTTCAGTTATTAATTTTTTTCTAAAGAATGGTTTAACATACGAAATGGAAACTTTGCACAAACATTTAGGATAACAAGACAAAGCTCCAAAAAAATTATCATGATTTTTCAAATTCATAAAACAAAATGGCGGCCATTTAAAATTTTTGTAAAGTCAATAGTTTTTTAGTTATTTTGTGTAGCTTTGTCTAATAATTGTCATAAATGCTTGTGCAAAGTTTCCATTTCTTATGTTTAACCATTCTAAAGAAAAAAAATTAATAACTGAAAAAACAAAATGGCGGCTGTGTGAGTAACTAAGGACTTCCGGACAATTTAAATATGATATTTAGGTACGTTTATTACCCAGGATCAATGCCCTAATATATTGGTAGAGAGTTCCGGGACATTCTGTATATATATATGTGTCCATCCGCACGATAACTTGAGTAGTTTTTGTCCGATTTTGATAAAATTTGGTTTGAAGGTGTAAGGCGGGATACACTTGAAGGAGTTCGCGAACCAGCATGATAGGACTATGGGAACGGGGGTTTATGGGGGGTTTTATGGGGTAAAAATAGGGTTTTCCCATTTTTGACCCTAAAAACGCAAAATTTCACAATTTCTTTCTAAACCATTTTGTAGAGCTTAAAAAAACAAATAATTTAGTACATTGAAGCGTATGTGTCTAATTGTTACGGATAAAATTCAAAAAAATTGTAATTTTTAAATTCCCATGTTATTCTTATGGAGAATAAGTCAACTGTTGTAGTTTGCTTGTTTATGAACATATTTTGATAAAATTTGGAAAATACATTAATTTCTTACTAAACTACAGTACCTTTTAACATTTGACATTTAAAAAAAACTTTTTTACCCTCCCTGTTGCAGCAAACCTAAGTATTTGTTAAACTAATTCTGTTTAAATAAGGGAACAAATGTGATATTTTTAAGGAGACATTTTAGTGTAAATCCAATCAGGCAAATGGAAATTCGCTAAGTCTGCAGGTTTGCTGCGGCGGGGGTATTTTTTTGTAGAAAAATCTTAAACCCTGACATAGTTTATCTAGTAATGAATGGTATAAGATTCTTAAAAGTCATAAATAATCTTGAGAGGATCAACATCCGAAATTTCTAGGCTGTTTATCCTTTAATCAATCCTCTAATAATATAAGTTTATCTCTAACCTGAGATCTCTTTGGGTTCATGTTATCATGTTTTGTTAAAGTTCACAGATTAGGATTATATTTAAGTTTGGAGAATTCAATTTACCGAACAACCACAAAAACTATAAGTTATCTTATATTATGATTTGAACCGTAATCGTATTCACTTGTATATGATTCAAACTCACTTTCATTCTACATTTTCTTGTTCTTTCTTCCTTCTCTGTTATATTTTGTTATGAAGTACTTACCCACTTATTACGATTGGCAGGCCTGCAGTGTCGCCGGATGTCGTTGGACTCAACCCGAGACCTGTCTGACTCTTCTGATGAAGACAGCTGCCGCAGTAGACGATCCAAGCCCAAGAACTACCGCAGCATTGAACAAGTACGTATATATCTTCTCCATTTAATTTCCAAATCAAAGAATTCATTCAGTTTCTCTAAATTCATCAGTTTATCTAATCTTCTTAATAATCTCAACTAATTTAACTTTCCTGTAAATATGCAAACCTTCTCCAGACTTTATATTGGCAATAAAATGGCTTAAATTAATGTTCACTTAAAGAGTCTCGCTCTTTAAGAGTTAAGTTGTTGTTTCCACAAAATCTTTTGATGAAAACAATACTGTTTGAATATACAAAACTCTTTTTTTAAGGTTCACTACCATTTTTTCTGGTATTTACATTTTTCCATACACAACACTCTTTCAAGTACAGTACACTTTATTATATTTTATGACATTAAACTTTTTTTGAGGTTTGTTCTTTTACCGCTTTTACAGTACACTAAAATTTATGAGATGTGTTACAATCTTTAGAGGAACATTACTCCTCTGTCAGTGCACTACACTTTTTTGAAATGCATAGTCTTTTTTATCACTCTGATGAGTATAGTCTATCGAAGCATTAAAAATATTCTGCAAAATAATGCTTGTGTGTTTTATTTTTACAATGATTGTGTTCTTACAGTATGAGAGGGAGATAGAGAGACTGCAGGCCAGAGTGGAAGATCTGAAACTCAAACTGGACAGTCCGTCACCTTCCCCCTCCCCTCAAAACCACCATGACACGGACAACATGAAGAACATCATTGAGAGGTGAGCTTATGACGAACAACTTAATTAGACTAGAGGGGTATTTAAGCGTTCAAAGATCTGGTTCGATAGCACACAACTGACAGTTAGGTTTTCATTAAACTTACCTCTGTGCGTAATATTAAATTTGGTTTCAACCAGAGACAGTGTTTGGACCTTGTCAGAGGGGGGTACCAGAACCTTGCAGAAAGGAGGAAGGTCTTGGGGTTTTATGTTGTTTATTATAAAATAATCTTTAACATTTAGTTCACATTTTTAACAGGAAACAAAATATTTTTTCCCACAGTCACCAGACAAAGTGGGCTTCCTTGTACAGATTATAGTATAGAAAGCCTAACTTTGGTGCACGGTTTTCACTTTGGCGCACAGTTTTTACTTAGGTGCACACCAATATTCCAACCAAACAACACAAAACAGCGTGCTTTTATTATGCATGTAATCCGTGTACGCTTGAAAATAAGTTGGCAAACCTTAAAGATATTACGACTACAATCAGCTGGTGCATCGTTTCCCATTTAGTTCAATGTTTGGATTTAACCTAACCTAAAAACGTGTTGTACAGTGTTTGAAATACTAATTATTTATATGATTTATAGTAACTGTTGGAAAAATATAATGTGTAACACCAGTGCAAACTGCCTTTGCTGCACTCGAGAAACTTTCCACACTCACCTACGACTTGTGCGTAAACATTTCTCTCATGTACAGAAAAGTGCCACTTCGCCCACTAGTTACACAAATAACTACCTATTGTGAAGAGTTTTGCAACTTAATTTTAATTTTCTCTATGCCTAATTCTTCGAATATTTTCCCAAAAATCAATGTCGTTTTTCCAGGTTGATCTCAGTAGAGGAAGAGTTGAGGCTGGAACAACGAAAGATGTCAGAAACCTTGTCGCACAAACAGAAAGTGATCGAGGCGCAAGAGCACCAGATAGCGGCTCTGGACGCGGCCAATAACCGACTGCTTGCGGCCCTGAGTCAACTCAAAGATCGCTACCAGGTGAAAGCGTCAAACAACAACAACAACAACAACCACAACAACACAGGCGCACAACGGCTACTAGCTGAACTGGGAGATCTCAAGAGTTCGTCTTGCTAAATAATCACAATGCCTAAGGTGTCATATACCAAAGATTGTATTAGTGGGAATGGAATTGCGTGCTGTAGAGACAAGAAGTATTAATTTTTAAACTAGATTACTGTGAGATATCAGATCGGTACAGATTTGTTTGCTACTGTAAGTTAAGCTTTGAGTTGAAGAAGTTCGGCTGAACCGTTCTATTGATTTTCATCGTTAGTTTTGAACTTTGATGTGTATTGTGGTCCGAATTATGTTAGGATGTATTGTGAAAGTTTGTCCAAGTGATAGCTTTTGATTAATTATGAAGTAATTTTATTTCGTCATTTTTGAAATCTCTTAGATATTTAACATCCCCACTGTACAAAACCCCCAGTCTACTGTCGATGCCTTCGTGTTAGAGCTTTACCCTCTCGCACCCTCAAAACTATATTTTAAAAAACCGTTTTTACAGAAAGTTATATTTGTAGCGTCTCTAGCCACCTTGTGATTACCCTCTCCAGTATTATGTGAAGTAGTGAGTGTTTTATATGGTCTAGGCTATGCTCATAGGTTAGGTTATGTAGAAGTATTGAGCAATAAGATCTGACTTTTAATTGACATAAGTTTCAATCTGTTAACTATATAATGTGTGACTCGTATCTTAAATGTTTCTATGTTAAATTTGTCCAATGGTTTTTACCAATAGTTAATTGTAATTTGTTTCACTCTAAACTCTTCATCCAGTTTTATGAGTACTATAATAGTATACTCATGCTTTTTATTTGACAAAGTTTTTATCTTAAAAATGTTAATTTGTGGTTACTAGTTTACTAGGTTACTGAGTTTTGCGAACATAACAAGCACGCAAACTTGTGGAATCATCATCTACTTATCTATAAGTAGTCATTTTGTGACAGATTTCAAAATAAGTTTGTGTGTTATTGTAACTGACATCAACGAAATATCACTCGAAACAGTCAGTCTTAATATCCATCACTACTGCATAAACTATAAATCGCTTTGTTATATTTTATGTTCATATGCAGATTCACAATATGTATATTTGTATTTCATAAGTATTTGTTATGTATTTTGTAAATTTAATTTTATCCTTTGTTATTTGTTTTGTACATTAATTTATACTCAATACGGTTAGGGATTACAGAAAAATTCAAAAAACTTTTCACTAGAAAAGTGTTTATTTTTTACGTTTTTGTAAATTTTTATTGTATAAACTTTTGTAAGATTCTTAGCAGTATTTTAGTTGGTAAAGCACAAAAGGCCAAATGATTTTTTTCCTGTGACCAAAGATTAGTTATTTTAGTAATTTTTGGGGCTGTAAGTATGAAAACAATTTGAATTTTAATTGTATACGTACATACAGTATTTGCTTTCTTACTTTAGTTCACATCAATTGTTCGGCGCCAAACTGTGCCAATACTTTTTTAAGACAGCTATTAAATTATGATTTTTCTCTATCAAGCAACAGAAGTGCATTCAATTGATAATTCTAATCAAAGGCCCCTTAAACCATGAGAAATGTAACCACTTAGTTTTAACAAATAGTATGTATTTGTACAGTAGACTTTAGATTGACAAGTTTTTATTTCTTTACTACTCCAAAGGCCTTGGTGTACACCGTTTATGTTTTTGTGTCATCTGAAGAACTTTCATTAAATATGGTACAAATAGCAACTCATCTTTATCAATTTAAATCCTGTCTTCATCTGTTAGAATATTTTTAGAAATTAATTAAAGCTAAGCACGCACTGGATTGGCACGGACGGACGTTACTGACGTTACAAACTTTTTTAATAGACTGCGCACACTGGATTGGTCGGCACGGGATGTACGGCCGATGGGGATGATCCTCAATTTTTTAGTAGGGTGCACGCACTGGATAGGTCGGTACGGAACAGAGGGACAATAGATACCTCCACAGTTTCCGCCTAGCATTTGTGCTGTAAACTACATTATGAAAGGGCAAAACGTCCGAACCGAAAGACGTACACACACTACAGGGCCGCCGAAGCAGCGTACAACTCATTTGTACAGCACATCAGGATGTCGTAGAAATGTTTTTCTGAACTTTTTTTCGGACGGCAGAAGGTGCATCCTGTCGGTAGCAGGACGGATGGTCCTATCCTGACCGTGACGGCCTAGTGCTTGAACACAGGCAAATCAATGCTACAATTTTTTTTTTAAATCCCGGATGTCCATGCAGCCCCAACTCGGTGAGAACTTAAGAGTCTTCCGTAGTGGAAGCCATGTTGGATTTCTTCCCCATAAGAACAATGTTAACTTTGGGTCCAAATATCTCATCAGCAAATTGTCATATAATTATGGATAAGGAGTTAAATTTAAGGAATTGCGGTCCTCTAGAGATTGACGTTTTTTATTTCACAATTTTTAATTTTTATAATGAATAATTGATTATTAATTAGCTTAAAATTAAGCTAATTATTGAAAGGAAATGAAAATTGATTTTCGAAATTCAAAAACCTCAGTCACGAGTCTATTATGTTAAAAATACAAATTATAAATTTCAAAGCTATATCTTAACAAATAACCCCGTTACGTGTCTACAAATGATGCAATTCTAACATTGTTCTTATGGGGAAGAAATCCAACATGGCTTCCACTACGGAAGACTCTTAAGACTATTACTGTGAGTATATAGCTGAACAAAGATGGTCAAAAGCTATACCTGCCGAGCTAAAACCTTGTGGTCATGTATACGCTCATGTTCTTATATCTCCACATTGTTTGCCAGTCTATCAAATTTTGAATTTGATGGATGTGAGTTTTACTGCTACCTTTTGCTATTCCTTACTGTGTGTGTTCAACATAAGCTTTTTTACAGTAATGTTGACTTGAGTGTTTATAAGGCCACCGAAAATTTAAATAACTTAACTTAACAATACATGGAGTTCAAAGGGGATGGGTATTCAACTGGGGAAATTTCAACCCAAATATTATTAAAAAATAAGCGTGGGATATAATGTGTGAAATGGGTGGGTATAGTGGCTGATTTACGGGCAAGAAATTGAGTTTTGGTTGCTGTTAGAGTAGACATCTCATCTACAGGGTTAGGCAAAAGTCTGGAACCCTCCACCCACATAGCACAGACTATCCTCAGGATATCCCACAGAGTTCCCAAAACGTCCCAATATCCCATGAGATATAGGAATATCCCTGGGATATTCCAATATCCCATGGGATATAGGGATATCCTTGGGATATTCCTGGCATATCTCGTTACAATAATTAATTAAATTTTTTAGGGTTTTTGATTGAGGGAGAGGAATATCTTTGGCATATCCCTAGAATATCCACAATATCCCTTTTTTCATAATTTATTTGTAAAATCCACTAATAACTCAAGTACTTCTCGACATATGCTACCGAATACAGCTTTCCCACACGGCATGGGATTCTGACCAGTTCCCACATATCCCACATAGATCCCGGGATTTGAGAATGTCCCTAGGATCACTCTAAGATATTGCACATATCCCACACAAACGAATGCATTTTGAGACTTCCTATGGATATTCTCGGTAGGATATCCCCGTGGGGCATGATAAATATCAAACTCTAAATTTTTACTATTTTATAATAACAATAATAATACACCTGCTTACAACAATAATAATAATAATGCAAATATTTTCTTTTTAATTTAATTCTAACTTATTTGAGAAAATTTAAAAATTTATTGGTTGAAAATTTAAGGGGAATATTAATTAATCATATAACAGTAATATTCTATATTCTTATTATAGTATCCTCTACAACTCCCAGAAAAACAATTTAACAACTTAATGCCTAAACAGAATCATAGTATCAAAAATATTTAAGTATTGCGACCATTTCAGCTGTCGGCTCCTCTTTAACCACTTGAAAACTAATAATAACAACAATCACAAATAGCTCAGGAGGTAAGGTAAGAGTTGCATAAGTCAAAGGTACCCGGTTCAAAACTCATCTGGGCAACTGGGCATAAATATTTTTGTTTCTATTTTTTTCCAAAATTTGTTTTTATGAGCTATATAATTAAAATACTTAACTGGTAAAAGTGGTTTTCAGACTAAATATTTATTATTTTGTGTTTTTATGTATAATATCCTCGTGGTATATGCCAGGGATCAGGATTTGGGCCCCAGGGAGTTCCCCAGGATATCCCGATGATATTTATTTATTTATTTATTTATCCATATACGGTAAACACCATTTTACATTGTACATACATTGCAATTTTTTTACAGATGGCCCAAAAAAAAGATGACGTAATAATGCATGCGTGTGACCATTACAGCTATCTACTACCTACACTTAGAATTAAGAAACAAAGTTGAAAAAATAAATATATGATAAATATCACAGCAAGTGGCAATAAGAGTAAAGACTAGTTAACATGCAGGAACAATAATAACAATAAATATTGACGAAGTAGAGACTAGCAATAAGCAAACCCAAAATTATGAAACACTACAAAATAAATACATATTATGGAGGCAAAACCAGCAACTTTCAGAAAAAAACAATGTGCAAAAGGTACGGTAAACTCTGAAGAAATATAAAAACTTAACAATAAGGTAACAACAAGACAGATCATAATATTAATAAATATGAAAAAGTAATGCACATAAGTGAGGGGAGTCGACGGCCCCAACACTACCACACACTTGAACAAAACATGCACTCACTGGCTTGGAAGTGAGGGGAGTCGACGGCCCCAACACTACCACACACTTGCACAGAAACATGCACTCACTGGCTCGGAAGTGAGGGGAGTCGACGGCCCCAACACTAAGTCATCGCCACACTCCTAACGAAAAGCTAATTTAAAAATAAATCAAACATGCACATGCTCCTCTGACGAGTAGAAGTTGGTTAGCTCCCTCCTAAGACGATTCTCGGAGAACTGAATGAGGTCGATGTAACTGGGCAGGCTGTTTCCCAGACGATGAAGGCGAGGCAGAGCACTGTGGTAAGAATATTGAGTCGAACAATGAGCTCTCTCAAAGAGCCCTCTGGATCGAACCACACGAGCACAACGAAAATCAATCCTGCTCAGCAAGTCCGGTGAATCAACCGAGGCTGTGATGATCTTCTTTAAGAGCAGCAGATCAAAGATTTTGCGTCTCGAACTCAGAGGAAGAAGTCCAAACCGACGTTCCATCTCATCCAGTGGTACTTCAAGGTAGCGAAAGCCCAGACTCACTCCAAGTACTCGGAGAAATTTTCTCTGTACACCCTCGAGAAGATCAGCATGGCATATCAGGTATGGTGACCAAACTGGTGAGCAGTACTCCAACAAAGGGCGAACCAGCTGTACATACAAAGTCCTTAGGGCATGAGGTGAAAACCCATCTCGAGACATTCTGACAACAAATCCCAGAGCAGAATAAGCCTTCTTACTTATGTTTCTTAAGTGAGGTTCTGGACTTAGATTCGAGGAAACAGTTACTCCCAGATCTTTCACTGTAGAAGATCGGCGGAGAGTCGAATCAAATAAGGTATAGTTGAACACCATTACATTCGTGCGCCGAGAGAAAGAGAGTACAACGCACTTAGATATGTTCAACTCCATCTCATTCTCCGAACACCACCGTTGCACATTGTCCAAGTCACTTTGCAGCTCCTCACATTCAAAGTCCGTTGTTACTTCCTTATAGATTTTAGCGTCGTCTACAAACAGCAACACTCTTGAATCCTTGACAGCATGGACTAGGTCGTTAATAAAGATTGAAAACAGTACAGGACCCAAAAGAGAGCCCTGTGGCACTCCAGATAACACAGGAAAGGCTTCCGATTCAGACCCATTATATCTTACAATAAGGTAGCGTCCAGCGTCCACTAATATAGCTCCGAAACCACTTCAGCATAGGTCCAGCCACTCCCAAAATACCAAGCTTTGCCATAAGGTGATCATGGCTGATTCTATCGAATGCCTTTGAGAAATCTATATACACACTATCCACCTGGTGGTTTCTATTGAAAGCTGAGATAATGTCGTCATGATATGTTATTAAGTTTGTCGTTGAGGATCTGCCACTATAGAATCCATGTTGAGCTGTAGACAGAAAACTTCTGGCAAAGAAAGACAGACGAGTAAGAACCAGAGACTCAAACACTTTCGCAAGCGTTGGCTGAATCGCAATAGGCCTGTAATTCTTGATATCCGAGGGATTACCACTCTTTAAAATTGGTACAACGAAGCTTGTCTTCAGGCAGTTAGGAAAAACACCAGATGAAAGAAATGAATTAAAGAAGATTGTTATGTGCAGTGCAAGAATACAGCTACAGTACTTGAGTAGCGATGGAGGAATCTCATCGGGTCCTGCTCCTTTATTAGCATTCAGAGAGGACAAGACAGCTTCAACTTCTTCACATGATACAGAAAACCCAGTAAGAGATGAGAGGGTTGTAATTGAGTCTTCATATGAGGGAGACGTTGATGGTGGTCTAAAGACAGACGAGAAATGTTTAGCAAAAAGTCTGCAGATGTGCTGAGGTGTGTCGGCAGTTTCACTATTCAGGTACACCGAAGATACAGCCTTGGAAGTGTTCTTGGTGTTATTAATGTGACCCCAGAAGGCCTTAATATTTTCTTGCATGGAATCTTCTACCCGATTAATGTAGTTTCTGTAGCAAATCACAGTGAGTTGTTTACATTGAGTTCGTACACG